GTGTTAGCATAGAACTATGTTAGGGTCCTATGTATTGTCCCTTACATGTAACTGAGCAGGCATAAAGCTCTTTCCCTTGCTCTTGTCTGCCTGTGCGAGTCGTAAGATAGGTAGGTAGGTAGATTGACAGACAGACAGACAGATTTAGAGATTTATTTCTGTCTACCAGGTTATCCATATTATTGTGAAAGAGTAAATTTTTCCCAGTCCATTATGTGTGTGTTTCAGATTCTTTATAAGATTTAGAATGACAGGAAATGAATTATAAGGATTTCCTGTTTATATTGATTTACAGTTCTTGCCTTTTCTCAATCCTAGTAATCTCTGGCTTTGTAATACCATCCCATGGAAAAATTGAGCAGGTTCCTGCTTTGTTTTCTACTTTGAGCTATTAAAATTGAACACTGACATTTCAAGGAACTTTGTCATTTAAAACGTACAAGCTTTCCCTTAGCGCCGGAATGCTTCTTTCACATGCCTTGTGCTTGGTGCGCGAGGCAGCAAGTACTGCCTCTGAGCTAAGAGATTGTGATGTCGCCGGGTTCCAAATGCCACGAGCCCTGAGCGGTGGACACCTCAGTCCCTAGGAGCGCCCAGGCCCAGGACAGCTGAGCTGCTATGCCAGAAAGTTTTCGCTATGAAGATTCTCCTGGGGGCGTACGAGAGGAGGTAAAAGGCTTCCCAGCACAACATGCCCTACCCACAACCCCAGTTTTTTCTTCTGTTGACCTTTCACCCTTTGTTGTAAACCCTTTCAAAGACATTTTCAAATTATGTCCTCTGCCACCTGGACGGGTATCTTTTTATTCTTTTGAAGACAGAAAGCATAGGTAGAAGTAAGTGGTCTTTGAAATAAAAAAGTAAAACCAGCAGTGAAGAGAGGAGCGCTGGCCAGTGTGGCTCAGGTGGTTGGTTGGACGTCATTCCGCAGAGCAGAGGGTCTCCGGTTTGATTCCCAGTCGGGGCTCGGGCCTGGGCTGCGGGTTCATCCCCCGTTCAGGGTGCATGTGAGAGGCAGCCGATCAGGGTTCCCCTCGCCCGTTGGTGCTTCTCTCCCTCTCCTCCCTCCCGTTCCTCTCTAAAAATAAATAAATACAATCTTTAAAAAAAAAACAGTGAAGAGAGGAGGTTGTTAAGTACATAAACTTTTCAGTTTTTTTCTGAAAAGAGGCAAGTCTTTAAGGAAGGAAATACAAATATACTTCATTTTATGTCTAGCTGCCAACATGTTTATGTTGGGCTTCTGAAAGGAAACTTGATTTTCTTCTTTTCTTTGTTGCTCTTGCATGTGGAAAGCTCCTGTTTTCCGCAGTGATCATGGAAGCTCTTTGCGCCGTGTTTTCTGGCCCAGTCATTTCATCTCGAATCTCACAGGGTCTGAAAACGGCACATTTCTTGTAGCGGGAGGAGAGGCACACAGGAAGTTGCGGGAAACTTTTTATACTCATTTTTGCCTAAGACGTGGTTGTACTGTAACAGCAAATATGTTGGGATCCACGTTGTTTTTACACGCTCACTTATATCTATTAGAGCCACACGTAGAAGTTTTGTTTCCTTGCCCTTGGTTTACTGCTTTTCCTTGAGTCGGGTGTGACTCTCCATCCTCGGCGGCTATTAGCGCAGCCAGCATCTCCCAGGCTTATTTAAGCGTTGGGATTCATCTGGTGTGACTTCCCCTCCCCGCATCCCATTAACTGTTTCAGAGCGGTGTGCCACACAGGCGGTGTGGCCGTGTTTCTTCCTGTTACTCTCCCCGGTGGTCTCAGACTGTCGATTCCGCTGGCCATCCAAGGAAAGATTGGTGAAGTCAGACTGTAGTTTGGTGTTTTCAGGTCTTTGGACGTAGTGCCATGATGTCCATATCTGATCTTCTGGCATGTTGCATTGAAATTTTCAAGGATTACATCTGAAAATGTAAATGAGGATATTTTTGTATATTCTTGATTTAGGTTTTAATCCGCCCCTCAAAATTAAACTTGTTGGTTGGAGTAGCCCTCAGTAGTCTCAAGCGATATTCTTGTAGTTGTTAAAAAAAAAAAAACACAAAAAACAAAACAAACCTCACCGTGTACCTAGCAGTACATGAACCAATAAACGTTTAGTGCAAGTGTTTTAAGAACCACGGTGGGTAGTGTCATGCATTGAATGGGAGACAAAGTCACGTGCTAATACATTAAGGATTTGGTAGGTAAAATAATCTCCATGCTGTAAATAACTGTTCGAGTTGTTAAAACAAATAGTTTTTTGGTGGTTAATATGGTTATTTAATAGTTCACACTCTCAGCCTCATATATGTTTTCATCTCAGAGTCAGGGATAAATGTATGTTGTATTTATATTTTAAATGTTTTTCTGATTACAGAAGTCATAATTGCTCTTTATAAAATTTGGAAACTAGAAGTCCAAATAAAAAGTACATCCCACTATGCATATCATATCCACTGTTACCTTCTTAGCACACTGTATGGTTTTCCCATGTCCGTATGACAAAGCACTCAACTTTCCCTTTCCTTCTTTGTGCCCCAACCCCCATTTCTTACCTAAAATTAAGAACTTAGTATACACGCTATTTTATGACCTGTTTTCCCCCAACATCATAGTTTGAATTAAAAAATTATTCTGTTGAAACATAATATTTAATGGCCATCAGTGGTTGATCATTATGCGTAGACTAAAGTCTATATAATCGACATCCTGCTGTAGGACCAGATCTTATGCACGCCAACCTCTTGCCCATCGCTGCGGCCTTCTGATTCAGCCGCATACAGCAGTTACTATGGAGGAATGTTCAAGCTTAAGGCAGCATTTAATTCAGAGTCTTTGCTCTACTGATATTTTTAATTTGGAAAATAGAAGCCAAATTAACTAGAAATGCGCCCTGTTATAACTTTTGTTGACTATCCTTTTGGTCTTTTCCCTCCTTTCCTACAGAAAAAAGAGATCATGCTGTCTTTTCTGTTTATAGTCTTTTTCTCTTTTACTTAGTATATTGAGAGTATATTTTTATTTAACACACTTAGATTAGGTTTTATTTTTGTTTCTTTGCATTTCTAAACAGCCCTATTATGAACATCTTTGCATATTGCTGTAATTACTTAAGTTCTAAAAATAGCGTTCAGATCTCAGTGAATGTGCACATTTTTAAGCCTTCTAACATTTTGTCACATTGGTTTAAAAAGTGGTTGTACCGTTTACATCCTGACCAGCTGTATATAGAAGCGCCCGCTTTCCTGTGTCCGCACCACTATTACTTTATATTCTTGTAATGGTATTTTATTATTTTGATATTCATGTTTTGATTTCTTCTACAGATGAGTTTTCTTTTTTCCTGTGTTTATTTTTTGTGTTTTTCTATGTGATTTTCCAGTCTGTGTTATTTGTGGGGTGGGGTAGAGGGCTTGTTTTTCAAGTGCTCTATAAGTCACATGAATCCTCACAGCTGCATGTTCTTTTCTTTTTTTCACTTGGATTAATTTTTTTTTTACAAAGCATCTCATAACTTCATTCTTTTTCATTTGTTTATTTTGGGTGTCTGTGTTGAATTTAGGGAGGTCTTTTTAGATCACATACACAGCCGTGCTAATTTTCTCCACACTTACCTTGGTTAAAAATTCTTTATCCATTTACTTTTTAAAAAATATTTATGACAGATTGGCAGGTTTTCACTGTGTTGTACAAAGGAGCCATAGATTATGTACTTACATATGAGTGTGTTTTTTATCAAATCTTAAGATTGTATTTGTTTTTATTTATTCACATGCTTTCAAGTATACGAACTTCTCATTGAAATCTTTGATGTGAACTAACAGCCTAGTCACATTTAAATGTGTTCTAAGTTTAGCAAGTCTGCCCCTGCACCACGCCCACCCCCCAAATGCCTTCTTTGGTTTGCATTTTAAGTAGATATTATGCATCAGATTTCTTCCTGGCATTAGGAAAAAACAGTTACTTATATTGTTAAATAACTTTTTGTTGTTTTTTTTTTTTAACATGCTGCAGGACATTGACGCCAAAGTAAGTAGCAAAACAATGACCTAGTGGAAGGCACCCTTAGAGACTGAGCCAGGCGACACTTGATCACCTTGCAAAAAGGCAAAAAAAGGGCTCGGCCCAAAGATGGGAATGCCAAAGTACATCCTTCCTGAATTTCTTAAAAATTCCTGGTCAGGTGTAGATTCAATGTCCGCTGAACAAAAAATATACTAAAAACTTTTCTAACTTGGGATGATATAGGGGGGCTTGTTCCCTCAGAGAAAGGGGTCACTTAAACAATGACTGAGATGCAAACAGTGATTTGAAAAATACATTATTTTACTAATCAAAAAATATATAAGTACCCATCTTTATCATGTTTTTCAAGAATCAGTATTTTATTGCATTATTATTTTGTAAATAAGGTCTTGTAAATTAGAAGTGGGAAAATATGTTTCAGTTACTTCTATTGTTAATAATAATTTTAATTATTTATGTAAACATTTATAGTAATTTTTTTACCCTCTCTCTAAAGACAGCTGTTTCATAATAAGTGAATAGACCAATGCATATATTTACATCTAGGTTTCTCTGGGTAATTTAAGGGTTCTCAAGTATGAAGTTTATGTATAAAATGTTACTTAGGTATTTTCTTTGTTGTTGTTCAAGAAAGGTTAGTAACCATATGTCTTATGCCCATATTAAAATCAAACTTTTATTGTGCAAAATATTAATCCTGGAAATTATTCTGCACAAGAGAAGTTAAATAAAACTGTCTCTGCTGCATTGTGATACATTTGGACAAAGTAGGACACAGCTGTTACAGCAAAAAAGGAAAAAACAATGTAGACGCATTCTTTACATTTAAATCCAGCAATCATCGTCTTACTAATGTTTTCCTATGGCAGAGACCTAATAGTTTGCAGAAGTCTTCAGCTTTTTATATTTATTTCCAATGTAATGCATACTTGACTTCTGCTTTGCTGTTGCTTTTTCATAGTACAGTATATTCCTCATTTCCTTTTTTAGGCTAAGCTGCTGGAGGAGAAGGATCGCGTGATAAAGAGACAGGACGCATTCTACAAAGAGCAGCTGGCCAGACTGGAGGAGCGGGTATGCCTGTTGCCTATCATTGGTTCTCTGCCACCCGTCTGCAGCTTTCCATGAATATATTTAAAAATTGATAAGTTAAAGTTGAAACTGCTTTTTCTAGTTAAAAATTGACCAGGAAGTGAAGAAGCCAAGCAGGTAGATTATTCTCAAAAGGGAATGTCATTTCTCCTGTGATAGCTTTGAGTACGGTGGCGATACTGGTTTGCCGATGCATTTTACCACGCACGAACCTCCCTTGTTTTTCCTTAAATGTTGGGAAACTGCACTGTCTCTGGGTCACACAGTGGAGTGCTTATCATCATCATCATAATCATCATCATCAACAGTTTGTTTTCCTTTTCAAAAATGTTCATTGAATTTATCAGGGTAACATTGGTTAATAAAATTATATAGATTTCAAGTGTATAATTCTGTTAGAGTACTTAACTTTCCCAAACATTGACTAAACTTGAGTATGTTCTTAGAAATGACAGTGTTTTAAAGGATGCATTTCCTTTGTGGAAACTCAGTCGCACTGCGTGTGTGGCTAAGAGATGAGTGTCTCTTTCAAGCGTGGTAGACAAGAGCGGAATACAGTAGAACTTAGGGAGAAGAGGTAGGAGGAGGAGTCCAGGTAGTAAGTACCCATAGTCAGCATGGCCCTAGAGTCTGACCAAGATGCAAAGGAGGAAATTACGGCTGAAACAAAAGGCAGGAGTGGGACTTCGAGCCCGTAAACAGTGCCCTTGTCCACAGAGTTGGTTTGTCTGGAATGCCTCCACACACAGACTGTGATACTGGAGAGCTCGCTTTCTCCCCCAGTTGATTGAGGCGCCCCACATTTGATTTGTTTAGAGTAGGGTGTTTAATAAGAAAGTAGGTAAAATTTGAAATACCTCATTTGAATTAAACCTCATTCAACACAATTATTTATGTATCGAATGTGTTCACCTGCCTCTGTCACGGAACAGTGTTCATGTATGTAGGGCCTGCTTTCTCATTCATTCAGCAGATGCTTGCTTACCTGATGGGTGTCGGGCCCTGGTCTGGTGCCAGAGATACGCTCTTGAGGAAAATGAACTAAACTTCTGGCCTCACGGAGCCAAAATTCGATGGCGGCCCAATGTATGTATTGTAGGGGGTGGGGGGTGAGATAACATGGTGAACAGCAAACCAGGGAGAGGCCGTCCCAGGGCCTGGGCGTGTCGGCGCGGGGTCAGGTGGAGAGGGAGGGCCTGTCCGCGCATGACAGGACGGCGTCTGGGAAGAGGTCTGCAGTAATGGGGGACCCCCAGAACCCTCAAGCAGGAGTGTGGTGGGCATAGTTAGAAGGGCCAGAGGCTTTGTGGGTCGAAGAGTATTGTGACTGCTGTCTGGAGCAGGAAACAAAGCCAGAAAGTCCTAGTAAGTGGTATGGCAGCAATTCAGAAAAGGGATGGCGAAGGCATGGGCCAGGGTGCTGAGCGGTGGAGGGAAAGAAATACGTTTGATATTTCAAAGGCAGACGGAGCTGACCAGATTTGCCGGTGGCTTTGATCATGAGTGAAGGAAAGAACTTTCCTTCTAGGTCTGTAGCTTTTATACAGGATGGATTTTCCACAGGGGAAGACTTAAAATGTGGATCTGGATGTGTGTAGTGGAGGAAATAGGAGTTTGACTTGGGATAGGTTAATTGTGGCTGATTTCTTAAAACACCCAGGGAGCGGTGTTAAAGAAGCCTGAAGTGAAGTGGCGCAGAGCAGAAGTCAGCACGCTTTCCTGGAAAGGGGCTGGTAGGGGTGTTTGCAGCTCTGCAGCCCTGCGTGGCTCCTGTCACAGTGACCTCAGCTCCGCCCTTGTGCTGTGACGCAGCCACGGCCACTGTGTCAGTGAGCAAATGTGGCCGTGTTTCAACTTAGGGGCCCTGGAGTTTGAAACACTCTTTTGACTTTTTTTCTCCCAACCATTTAGAAATGGAAGGCCGTTGTTAAGGCTGAACTGAATCAGGTGGCGGGCTGGGCTTGACCCCTGAGTTGCAGGCTGCAGACGCATGGTTTAGAGCACAGGCTCTGACATCGGCTGGCTTGGATCGGAACCGGCATTTCCGTGCCGTGGCTCTTGGAGCACCTGACTGAAACCTCCAGTGTCCTCGGCTGTAACATGAGGATATGTTCATGCTTACCTACTGATCTATTAAATGAGCCAAGTCTCATAAAGCAGGGGTCCCCCACCAGTGGTACTGGTCTGCGGCCTGTTAGGAACCTGGCCGCAAGCAGAGTTTGACTGGGCTCCGCCTCCTGTCTCCCCCAACCGCATCCACAGCACCAGGCGTGCAGGCGGGCGTGCGAGCAAGTGAAGCTCAGGTCCCAGGAAACCAGCCCGTGGTGCCAAAAGAAGTTGGGGACCGCTGTCATAAAGCACCTCTCAGAGTGTCTAGCACAGAGTCACCACTCAGTCAACAGTGCTTCTTGTTTTACATCTGTCCTTCCAGGGCACTCTGCTGGCCGTGCTCAGCCAGTGTTAGCTGAACTAAATGGGTGGGAGTGAAAGGTTTGAGGTGACTTACTCAGCACCTGCTTTCTTCCCACCCAGTCATAGTTTATTTTGCCATCAAATATTACTATGCTTGAGTTTGTATTTTTTCTAATTTCGTATCTGTATCTTTTGAATTCATCATTGATCACTGTTAGGTGCAAGAAAAGGCACTGAAAAACTATTCACCCATTTCTCCTAAGTTCACTGATTTGAGGTAGATAATTCGGTGGTTGGCGCGAGGAGCTCTTCTTGGCAGATGAACCTGGTCTGCTCAGCAGTTGACTGTTGCTTTGGGCGCCAGGTGAGAACAAATGGTGGGGGGTCAGATGGATGTGGTGTGGTGATGCCAAGTAGTTGTGCTTAGAGTATGTTCTTATTTAGGCAAAATATATGCGATTTTCCTGTTCGAAGATAAGTCTGGAAAGTAGTTATTTAGGAATTTTCACTGAACGCTGAGAAGCACCAGTGAACTTAGAAGACTCCTGAGGTGGAATGATCACATTACTAGTAGCTGATACTTAATAACTCCGTATTTAATAGCATGTGGTAGAAAGTGTGCTGTTCTGGGGGTCAGAAGGCCTGGCTTTGCCACCTAATTATTTGACAATTTACCAAATCCCTGTGGTTTCTGGGTCTGTCAGGTGGAGAGAATGCTCTGTTCCTTGCTCATCTTGGTGAGTTATTGGTGGGGATGAGATAAGGTGACATATTTAAAAGCTCCTAGAAAACTGGAAAGAGCTTAACAAATATAAGCTGCTGCCATTAAAGAATATTTACTTGCTTTCCATTGTATGTAAGATATTAATAATCACAAAATTACCTTAATATTATTCAGCGTCCTGCTGTCTTCTGCGCATTTCTATAAAGTCCTGTTTTTGTTTGTTATGGCCATTCTTAAAATACGTAGGTTGAGTTTTGTCCATTTGGGATTTTATCTGGGAATATTTCAGAGACATTCAGGCCCCCGATGAGGAAGCAATTTCTAGAATTACTGCAAGAGATGTAAAGAGGGTTTTGCTTGTATTGTGGTGATAGTGGAAAGCACAAGTCTAGTCATTTGTACTAGGATTCTCCAGACTTTGCATTAGAAGGCATAAAAGTGCTGAATCCAGTAGTGCATAATGTAAAAAAAAAAAAAAAACAAGCCGATTTTAATATAGCATGCAGAATCATCTAATTTACTGTGAAATTCAGGTTACTTGTGGTTTAAAAGTGGATATATGTACATATCTCTCTCTATATTAACCAGATGAAATGACGAAACCATAAACTAGATACCATGTGGTATATTATTAATGAGAGGGGACATTGAGTATTTTTAAGAGTAATTCCAAGGATGATTTCTAAGATCTCCTTATCATCTGCTCATCAGCTGGATTAACAGACATAGTAAATGTATATATTATCACTTTTCTAGGGCTCATAAACTTATTACTTGAACTATTTATTTTTGTTGACCAGATGCAGATTTCTTTTGATATATGAACTCAAGGCCACTGAATATGTGAAGCCCACTCAGTTCTTGGTTTGCCTCTTGGATTTGTTTCAATAAACTCTTTATCGATTAGATATTATTCCCTTTGGTGAGTGGAGCTTTCTCCTCCCGGGATGTTATACTGGCTAGTTCACCAGGTATCTGAGGTCATTCTCCCCTTCCTCTAACTCGTGAGGTGTAATGAGTGTAATTCAACTGGACGCCAATTTCACACCTCTAAGAACCAGCATTCCAGTATTCTGTACTGAGAAAGAAGGTCAGGACCACTTGAAAAGTGTATCAGGTCCTTATTTCATTGTAAATGTTGCCAGCTTTCTCCAATAACAGCGTCATAGATGTGGAGTAAATTTTTGTATTTTAAGAACATTAGAATCGCATGTAGATGTATGACCTTGTAACTGAGCAGCCTGGGGTCCGGCTCCTGCCATCGTGCACAAGCATGACACGGAAATAGGTGGGGACGGAAAGAGGTTTTTATTAACAGGGTTTCCAGTTTGGGGGAGCTGTGTCTCACCTGCTCCAAGCCATTCTCTTCCACAACACACAGAAATCCCCTCATTACCGAAAAGACTGAAATGCAAACCTGTGCTCAGAAGTGCCCCATCATTCCTTATCTGCCCTTTTGGAGCCCTTGGTGGCCACACAGGTGGGTCTTGTCCCTCCAGCTTTCAGGCGTGCTGTCTCTCTGGGGTGCACACTTGGGGGTTCCAGAGTCGCCATTGTCTCATGCAGCTTTCTCTCTTTCCCAGCGTTTGGGGTGCACTGCCAGATCACTCCCACCAGATCACTCCTGCCAGCTGTGCAGGGGAAGCTCCCTCTGTGGGGCTCCAGTGCCCAAAGCTGTTTGCGCCCTTGGGGACCAGGAACCTTCCCTGCTTGTGTGTCTGTGTGCTGCTGTCAGGGCCAAAGCCCGCAGGGTCCCTCCAACGTGCACCCCACCCCACCCCACCCTGACAAGGGGCGAGGAAGAGTGTGCGCTTCTGTGCGCATCCTGTTTTAATTAACGCCTGGG